GGCCCGCCACGGGAAGGCCATGATTTACCGTGACCTTTCGGCGGTGGCGGACGCGTTTGCCCGCTGCGGGAAAGCAAATTCGCCCGCCGCGAAAAACATTTCTGTAGTAGTGGTTTCTCGACTCAATACAAGTACTCTCTTCTTCACCTTAGCCATGGTACCTCGGTCCTCAAGCCATCGCTTGCCCTTCACCTTCGCTTAGTCCCTCGAAGCTCTTTCCTTGCTATCTTCACCTTATCGAGCGATGCTCAAGTCACATCATATTAAGTATCCATTGAAAAACTATTTCTTCAATAGTATGATCCTTTCTTGAATATCTTCTAGATATGAATGTTGAGATCAATCAAGCTTTAGTTTGATTCACATAAAGACATATATGAATCAACATCAATATGGTCAAGCCAATTCACGATTCCTTATATCCTCTTTATTTTGGCTTGACACTCCTAATACTCACTTCAATATCTATCTTCATACTTCTAGCTTGATCAAAGCAGTGCAAAGTGATTTTTTAAATCTTTATCCATACAAGCAAACCAATGTAGAGAACATCTTATATCCATTATACATTGTCTCCTTTGTCATTTCACTTTTGCTTAACATTTTCTTACTTATACACTCTTGATTTATTATTCAATCCTTGATCAAGGCTAGTCCACTATCTAACTCTTCTTATTCATGCAAAGCAAGCTATTATAGAGACCAATCCAAAATCATCAACTCATGTCTCATTTGCAATTTGCCAAATATGCTTATTTTCACATGATGCTATGATATCCTACAACATAAAAGTTATTTCATTGATTCCATTTGCATTGTTGTCTTTTGCTTGAACTAGATTGTTTCTACAATCTTTCAATACATCAAGTTTGCCTTCTTGTTGAACCTATATACACTTCTCATTCCATAATCTACAAGTGTATGCAATAAACTCAATTTCATGTTCAACACTTAGCAAATTTGTTAGACCTTTAATGGTGTTGTCATTCAGTTCACCAAAACCCAATAAGGGCTAGATGCACTTACATTACTTTTTATAGTAGTCATCAATTTTTCTTTTATGCATGCTACTAACATATCTACTAATATATTATGATATTAATTTGTACATCTAGGTTGTATTTAATAACTTATGTACATAAGTTATATAGAATAACTTATATACACAAGTTGCGTTTGATAACTTTTTTTCTAGATAAGTTGTGTTTTATAACTTTTATGTTTTCAAATTTTGGTTATAAGTTAGTTTGCTACTAGAAAAAAAAATATTCAAAGCATATGCAAGTGGGGGTCTAGTTTTGTTTGTGTCATCACGTAGAACACAACGGTGCAGACGGAATTAAAAATAGATACACCATTCAGAAGTTATATCATTTTAAAATAAATATTTTGTGCGGGCCCCAACAGACCTGTGCAGGCACTTGAAAATGAGCAGCGCAGCACTAATTAACCAAAATAGGGAAAGAGGTGGAAATTATTATTTTTCTCCAAAATGGAATTGAAACCTGTTAGAATTTCGTTCTCTCTTTTTTTCTCCAAAATGGAATTAAAACCTGTTGGAATTTCGTTCTCTCTTTTTTTCTCCAAAATGGAATTAAAACCTGTTGGAATTTCGTTCTCTCTTTTTTTCAGATCAATGAGCGTTCACGAATTAGGGGGCCTCGCTTCTCCGGGCCAGGAAAATCAACACGGGCCAGCTTGGCTCGGGTCATTTTAGTGTGTGGCCGTCTGGGCTCAGGGTTTCAATTTTTCTGGGGCCAATTTAAGGTTGGTTCGGTTTCGGTGGCTGACTTCTCACTTCTCTACCATGTTTCGGCTAGGCACTGCCGCGCACCGCATGGTGAACAGTCCCTGAGTCACGCAGTGTGTCTTAAAAAACCTCCCATATCGTGGGAGCCATCTCTGCAGCTGTCACCTGTGTTAGTGTCACCTTCTGGCCACGTCACACTAGTGTGATAGAAAAGCAAAAGCACTGTCAACCTGTTGTGCTCGAAGTAAACTGGCAAGTGGTAGCGTGGCATGTAGGAAATGTTCAGCAGCCTTCCATGTCATGTGCTTCTAGTGGAGTACAGTTTCCTGGCCATGCAGCTCAGTGGCGGAGCCGGCGGAGCGTGAAGTAACACGTAGAGGGGGCCAATTTGTATGAACTAGCGACCATCTCAAAAGTAATAACATATCTTGAATTCTTGATTGACAACAAATTACTTGGGAGCAAAAATAGAAGGAAGAAGAGAAGCCGTATCTGGCTATCTGCATGCATGCAGCAGATGCAGAGAGGCGAGAGCACGGGGCCGCGGAGGCTGGACTGCCTGAGTATGGAAGCGCGGACTCGCCGCAGAGGCTAGAGAGAACTGAGAGCGCGCGCGTGGCAGCCATGCATAGCAAGTTAGCAACACACCAAATCCACGTATGGTAATTTGTATGCTCAACTGTGATCTTCAGAAAACTGGCCGTGGCGAGGGGGGGGGGGCGGAGCCTTCTATGGCCCTAACGACGCTCCGCCAATGATGCAGCTTGCACGAGCACATGACATGTTTGAGTGAGTGATGTAGGTGTGGCCGCCGTCATGGTTGTTGCATTGGCTGTCGGCAACCCTGGAGCACGTTGGTTCCGACAGTGAATACGTGTTTCAGAGTCGGGGTCACCAACAGAAATCACGTTGCTTCGTTCTTCCAAGGTCTCTCGCGAGATTTCTGTATTCCAATTCCAAAAGGACTAGCAGTGGTACATTCGGTTCATGCTACAACATTCAAGACTTAAGACTGTCTTCGACAAGGAATCTATATAGATATTTAAATCTAAAATTGGTAGCAAGAGGTCTAAAATCATCCTTCAACAGAGTACCTATATATGAGAGATCTATTTTAGGTTGTGCCTGAGAGGCACAATCCAAATATGGACATCCTCTCTCCTGGAAACTCATTTGCAGAAATGATTCTCTTTTGTGTTTTGTTGTTGGAGAAGATACCAAATAAGTATTGAACATTTTACCTGTAGCGCTACCCAAAAAATAAATATGTCTTGTATTTTAGATGGTATTGTTGGAGATAGCGTAAGGACAGCCAAATTACTCGTTGACGCCGTCGCCTCCATTTCCTTTGGAGAGCCGGACCGGAGACAACTGGCGCAGACGACAAACAAAGGACTTTCAGGCTTTCAGCTGTACCGTCTGTACGTATAGACTGACTCCGTAGACATACAGCCTGTTTGGTTGGCTGGTGCTTGTTGTATACGATTGTAAATTTTTAGTCGAAATAATATTTTTCTTTCACACAAACCAACCAACAGTATTTCTTCACAAACCAGCGACGAAACGAAACAGCCTGCCGAACAGGCTGATAATGACCCTTGACCCGCCACCATCACCGAAACGGCCAAGTGGTGCATGCAACGAAGAACTGGCATCTGCTGAAAACGAACTGCTTGGTGTTTTACGCCCCGAAACAAATGCGGCGCTGTCATACGAGATGCCCGCCAAGACGAGCAACTGTACATTTTACTGAACAGCAACTGTACATTCCATGTTGTGAGAGCCCGCCAAGAAGAGCAGCAAAATCGACCAAATTAGCAAGTTAATTACTCGAACCATTTTACTGAACACTACAGGTATATGCAACAAAACAGTAATAAATACTTCAAATAAGGTCTTTGTCTACCATGGGATTTTTTTTTGGCAAGGATTAGCTCACTAACATATCAAAGAACATATCAGTCTTACGTTTTCTACACAAATGCTAGGACCTCTGACTTTCAATTAAGGTAGAAAAAGAGACATACAAAGAATTCAAAATAAGGGAGAGGCAATGGCAAGCCTCTAGACTACATCACAAAATGAGGAAAAGCCCCAGAAGGCTGAGAGACCTCTCATGAACACAAGGAAACACTGAGCCAAGGAAACAAAATTACAACGGATTGTTAAAAGCCCTTTTGCAGTGAGAAATGTGTTCAGACTTCAGACACTTTCGTGGGCTGATGTTGCAATTTTTAGAAAGGGCCCTAAAGTTCAAAAAAAATTGTGTTGGGGAAAATGGTGCACAAATTCCAAAATTAGCTGCTAAAATATTACATGCGTCTTATTTCATCATCTACAAATTGACACCTCATTTTCTGTGTGTTTTTTTTAACGAAAACACAGGAGAGGGACGCTTCATTATATTAAGAAGAGAGTAAAGGGCAAGAGCCCAAACAACGCCACAAACACACACGCACGCACTCACACCTCACCAATTTCCAGGATTACATTAGCGGCCCTGACAAAACTACACAGCTGCGATCAGAGCACCAGCTAAGTTTGGAGCTGCTCCATAAAAAACACACCCATTTTCTGTGTGTTTTTATGTGCCTTGTAGACGTTTGATGCAACAGATGGTCTCCAATCTCTATGTTTTGACCGAGAGCCACATAGCACAGTACAAGAAAATCAGTCAGAGCATCACCAAATTTCTAATCCCTACATATATATTGCAGAATAAATTTTAATTGATATAGCTAAATAAGCATTACCAGGTAAACCACTACACCACTTTATCGATCAGACATTATTGGCTGATAGTTTGATGCCTAGCTACACTTATGCATGCTACCATGACCTATGGACGACACCACTACAACTCAACATTTCTGAGCTCTCAAGTTTACATATAACATATAGCTTACCTCACAACAGAGAATGGACAGTATATATTATAATAACTAAACAACGAGCTGGCCAAAAACTCAACGTTTGATTCCCTGATGAAACGACGGGACTGAAACATAAGATTAGCCATCTAACCATTATTGTCCACTATGCAAAGGTCCTGTATCAAACAGCCAGGTTGCCAGGGAGAACAAGCAGACGATAGAGACCGAGTCAATACCCGAACCACCACCATTGCTCTGTGCTAAGGACTTGTCCGAGCTGGATCCTTATCACCTAGCAAAGGTTTCTTTCCAGCACGAGGTTCGTTCTTGACTCAGGCTCGTCGTCGGCGACCATCCCCCTGCGGCGACGGCGACACTCAAGCGTCGCACTGCAGCGCTGTCTTGATCTTCTTGATGGTGCAGGATATAAGGTTGTTCACGGTTTCTACTGATTCCACGGTGAGCTTGGCGGTCGGCTGGCTGTTGACGAGTATCTGGAATGCAACGGTGAGTAGCGAGCCACCTGTCTTATGCTCGGCGCCGACACTGCTTGGGCCGTCGGGCAGGATGGCGAACCCAGACGGCAGCAGGGCAACGTAGGTGGAATCCCCGCCGTTCATGACGAGCTGCATCGCCGGGATGTCCACCGGAGCGTACACGACCATCGAGCCTGATGCATCAGTGCAAGTCTCCTGGAGGATCAACATGCTGCTCTGGTTGGCACTCATGGCCTGCAGTGAGAAAAGTTACAAAGCTTGTTCACACACAAAAAAAGTTACAAAGCATGAGAAACGTTTGGCAAAACTTCAGAATGCCCGCACCAGAAATTTAAATAAAATAAAAATAAAATGTTGAAATAGTATGGGTCTACTGTGTGCACAGTATTATTGATGAATGATGAGAGATGCCAATAGTTAATGCTTGACGCGTAAACATTAAATAAGCGTCAACATGGGGTTCGAGGATGGCCGGATACCGAAGATTGTTTCTAATGACAAAATGTATTCACAAAATCCAAAGAATCATGCAAGGGAAAAAAAAAAAAAACAGAAAACTGCAAGACATGGACCGGCTTTTTTATCCTAACAATTTGTACGCACTGAACAGTACAGTACAACTGCACAAAGTTGTCAACCCCGACACCTTTCCAAGCAGATCTGCGCGCTGTATGGTCCCACTTTGTCCCTTTCCACTGAACTCGTGAAAAAGGTGCTCCCCAGTTCTCACACTAGCCGGCTTTTCCAAGCAGATCACGGCCCTTTTTCATCTCCCAGCAGTATCTGATAGAAAGCTGACAGACTTTTGCTGGTAGTTTTCTCCGTGTCGTTATCGGTTTAGGATATAAAAACATGCTGAGAAAGTGTTATTTTATGTGAGACTTCCCATAAATTACTTGTGGCTTTAGTAAGCGTCAGGATTATTGCTCACTTCCTTCTTTTTTTTGTTTGCTAAATTTTAAAAAGTGAGCTGTGGTACTCTAGTCTAGACCTTAACAGCCAGAACGCAGAGTGTATTGGGAAACCTCGATCTGAAAGCAGTAACGTTCATCATTCCAGAAATTACGTTCTCGGGGCAAAAACCTTCTAAGAATACTATATCATATTCCTTCTCTTATTCATCGGAAAAGATATGACTGTTAAGTTTTAGACAGTCATAGAGTTTTCAGGACAGCTAGATCGTGGAACAGAAATCGTGGAACGTGGTACATTCCCTTTTTAAAGAGAGGGTTTTCTACTGCAGGACAAGATTGTTCCCCAGTTCCTGGGACAAGGAACGTGACACCGTACCATGTTCCAAGGACGAGGAACGTGACACCGTACCACGTTCCGGTTGACACTGCTCTACATATACCATTTGAAAACAGCGGAACAGAGTGGTAGTAGTGGCAATAAGCAGTAATACTCACACTGGCTCTGAGGAGGGACACCGAGTTTCCGTGCTCCTGCCCCTTGGCAATGTTAGCCATCTCCTGCATGGGGCCTCCGTTGCTGAGGATGTCCCACTCTGCGCGCAGCTGCTCGTCACGTAGGAAGTTGAACAGCTTCTCCGGAGCCACGGGCACCCACACCGATGTGGCCGCACTGAGCACCACGCCCGGTGGCTCCCCAGGCTCGTCCACGCTCTTCCGTGCCATGACCCGCACATCCTCCCCGATGCTGCCTGCCGCACCGTCCAGCTTGCTCCATTCACGTGCAGACGACGCGCTGACCCCAGCGCAGAAGTTCTCCGTCATCCGCCGCGCTAGCTTCAGCATGCTTCGCTTCCCCTCTTGGGTTATGACTGCACCGAAAGCCGCACATTATTATCATATATATCTCACTAGTCATGCATGCCCCAAAATTAAAGCTAGCACCTATGTACTGATCCATAGATATTTTTACATCTGGTGAAAAGTACTTATATATCCCTTGATCATCTTGCATTGGCATCACCGTTTTCATGCACGAACAATGCTGATACTATTTTTTTTAAACAAACAATGCAGATACTATTGAACTAACAAATGTTTACTCTGTATATGTAAGCAGTCCTTTACAGGCTTTACTCTGTATATGTAAGCAGTCCTTTACAGGCTGTACATGGAAGATGGCAACGAAAGGCTCAGACTTTCCTGTACCTGACGATTCATTTGCTGAAACTGTATCAGGGGACATGAGTATGGCCAGGCATTCACACTGGCGCTGCAGCATTGCAAGCCACCGCCTGGCCCCAAAGGCCAGCCCGGACCGGAGAAGTGGTCTATAGAGCTGGTGTACTGATGCCTCATCGTATTCCGTATGCTCGACCCACGTGACCTACAGGGTAAGCATCCGTTAGTCCATAAATGCACGCCCACATGCAATTGTCCGCAAGGGGGGCTCTCTGCAGAGCAATACAGCACTTATGTGGGAACACTGTAGAGATCGCAGTCCTCTTTGTAACTTGTGAAGTTTTTTTTTTTTCACGGTGGGGTCATATGGGTAGACTTGAGGAAAAAAATGGGGAGCTGTTTGCCCGTTAAGCAGTCTCGAGATGTGAAACCGCATGGATCTGCGACCGTTACCTGTGCCTTGATCTAGATAGAGCTGATCACAAAGTGATAATATAAATCAAGTGCCTATTTAGTTCCCAAAATTTTGCAAAATTTTTCAAAATTCTCCGTCACATCGAATCTTTGGACGCATGCATGAAGCATTAAATATAAATAAAAAATAAAATTAATTACACAGTTTAGATGAAATTCACGAGACGAATCTTTTAAGCCTAATTAGACTATGATTGGACACTAATTACTAAATAACAACGAAAGTGCTACAGTACCATTTCCTAAAAAAATTCGTCAACTAAACAAGGCACAATATTTCATTGCACATGGATCAGATAACAAGTTTAGCATAAATCTGACACGCGTTTTTATACACTGTCCCAACTCCTAGCTTTCGTATGACAATACAAATCAGTCCTAAAAGGCTCCCACACTGGGCTCTTCAAATAACCCAAAGGTTCACATATACTGGTGTGCATGATAAAGAAAGAATGCAATTAGTTTAATTTATTTTGTTTTCTAAAGTTCTTGGATTAGACAATAACATTTCAAAATAAAACCTCCAAAATTCACAAAGTCGCTTTTCTTTCAGCTTAGTGTCTGGCATAAAATATTCTATAGTATAACTTTATATTAATTCCGTCATCAGTGGCCCAGATCAAGATCATGTCAAGACTTGTGCAAAACCCGAGGACACAAATATTGACATCTTTTAACCCCGATACATGAGTCCATGGTCCAAAGTTCAACATACAAGCAGGGACAGATTGATTAAATTGCGGATAAGAAGTTACCCAAGGTGCTCCAACCGAGGGGTGGAAGCATCTAATCCCCTAAAAAAACCAGTGTTGCGACTAAAAAACCACAAGGAAACGTGCTTGGGGAATAGTGTTGGATCCATGAAACACTTGATTATTCCTAAACTAATTGTTTAGCCCCCCTCCTCGTTGACCAAGCAGTTTGTTTATTTAGGTTGTGGGCTCATGACCCTAATTAAACTATTAGCCCTTGACTTGTGAACACTATGCTGCATGGGCATCACCAAACCACACCATTAGATTAATAGGGCGCTATAAAAGAAACGTTGTACGTAGTCCCAAGTTCTGAGAGTGAGGCCGGTGTGGAGGTAGTGGAGAAGAAGTGGAATTCATTGTTAGTACTAAGCTCAGGAGTAAGCTCTGACCGGTTACTTGATGTAAAAGTTCAGAAACTTTACAGAGTAACAGTCACGCTAACTCGATTAGGCCCACAGCTGTAGCTCCTATGAAGCAGGCTCTGTTAGGCTGTCATTATAAGCCGACTTATCAGTCATGATATGGTATTTTTTCTCCCAATAAATCAGCCGTATAAATCAGCATCAAGCAGCTTATAGACCAGACGAACAGAGCCATCTCGACATGCGAACACTACAGACAGAAACGATGTAAATGGATTTTGGTTGCTAGTACCTTGCAGTAGCCATTGGGAGTGTCTTGCATCACACAGCCAGAAGGTAACCTCCTGCACCTTATATTTCCGGCGTTGGATGCTGTTGCAGAGTTCTGATCTCTCACCAATCCATCAATGGACACGTCCACTACTGCCCATGCACCCTCAGCCAGCTGCTTGCAAAACCTGAGAAATGTGACCTCCCTGATGGGCACTAAAGGTGAGAGCACCTGTAGCTCAGCCTTCATCTGTTGCACCAAAGCAAATGCAAATTGAATTTAGGAAGTATTCAGAAGCACTGCAGTCACTGGCCACTATAATACATGGGCTGATGATCAAGCCCAAGGAGGGAGCTGTTTGGCACTCACCAGCAGCAGCGCACCATTTCTACTTCCTGCAATGCCGGATGTCACCTCCTCTAGAACTGTGGCCTTCGCGATCATGCACGAGAACATGTCCGACCACCGTCTCTGCAACATGGATGGAGGAGAAATGCCATGTAACATCAGCAAAAGTCATGGTACTAGGCAACAATGTTATGAACCGAAATTGCAAAACAAAATGAACACAAAACAAACCTCGTCCATAAGGGTCTCAACAAGAGCAAGGCTGTTGTCGATGATGACGAGGCCAGACTCCCTAGAGGCCTCGGACACATAGCCGACAGGCTTCATGCCGACGCACGGAAGGAACGAGTTGGCATACTCCTCAAAGTTGAGCAACTCCTTGTTGGGAGAGCCATTGAGGCTGGGAAGCCACAACGGCTCGTCAATCTGTGCCAGCTTAACTAGTTCATCCATGGCGCTGATCGCAAGCTCCAACAGCATGGACCTGTCGATGCCCACCATAGGCGGGACAGATCCGGTTGTCCTTGCAGGCGTGATCACCGTGCCCAATGGGCTAGACACACCCCCAACAAAGTCGCCCATGGAACCAGGCATGGTAGCAGCAGACGGGATAGATCCAAGGCCGTGGAGGCCGCCGCCGACCGCCAGCTCAAGCGACGAGCTGGGCATGGGCAGCGACAGGTTCGGCTGCAGCATGGGCCCGCCCGAGAGGATGGACATGGGCTTGCCGAGGAACTTGGTGGCGAGGGCATAGACGCGGCTGAGCTCGTCCTTGAGCCGCGCATTCTCGATGCACAGGTGCTGCTCCTCCAGGGACACCTCCCCGAGCATGGCGGGGCTCCCGCAGCTGCCGCACATCGGGCTGCGCATGGCCTCCCGGATCGCCATGTTCTCGGCGCGAAGCTTGTCGTTCTCCTGCTTGAGAAGCGCGTTCTCGTGCCGCTCCAGTTGCGTCTTGGCAGGCGAAATCAACGCACGGAACGGATATAAACCATGTCAGGATCCAACGAAACCAACGGGCTGAAAAAACTGAAATCGGGGCGAAGGAAAGAAAAAATGGTACGATCGGTGGATGACGAGACAGTGAGTCCGTCCGGCCGTTTACCTTCATCTGCGTGCGGCGGTTTTGGAACCAGAACTTGACCTGGCGCGGGTCGAGGCCGAGCCGCTTGCTGAGCTCGCCGCGCTGCTTCTCGTCCGGGTGAGGACACTCCTTGAACAGCCTACACACGCGAACGCAACGCAGCACGATCCATCCATGCATTAGAGGACAAACAAACCCCGAAACGAAACGATGCGAATGCAGGCATGGCACTATGGCGGCGAGAAGGAACGGGCGCGGCTGTGCGTGCTTACGCTTCGAGCTTCTGGATCTGCTGCGGCGTGTGGCGGTGGTAGCGCTTCTTGCGCTTGCGCGGGTTGCCTGGCTCGGCGTCGTCGTCGTCCTCGGCGCCGCCGGCGGACATGGCGTCCAGGTGGTCGCTCCCGGAGCGGCTGTCGTTCTCGGCGTCGGCGTCCCTCATCGCCATCCCGCCGCCGTCCCCGGCGGCGCCGCTCCCGGGAAGCATCCGGCCGACCATGCCGCCGCCGGCGTTGTCCTGCGAGAGAGATATACAACACCACATTTCGTTTCGTTCGTTCAGGGAAAACGAAAACCAAATCACTCGAAGGTGAAGCGGAAATGGAAGGAGGAAGGAGTGGGAGCAGGCAGGCAGGCGCGTACCAGACCGAGGGAGAGGGCCGGCGTGGACGAGAAGCCGGTGGAGAACGGGAACTGCATCCCTCCGCCGCCGCCGCCGGCCCCGCCGTCGAATAGGCTCCCGAAGCTCATGTCGCGCCTCCTCCTACGATAGCAGGAGAGCACCGGATCCGCGCGCCGCGCACCGTCGACTCCTCGGCGGAATCCTAGCCGCTGCGCATAAGGGTAGTAGTAGTGATGAGACGAGAGGAGCGAGGGGTCCGTCCGGTCCAGCCCCCCGCGCGCGAGTGAGTCTGTTCCGTGAGATGGAGATGCTGCTGAGGTCCGCAAAATCCCAAACCCTCCACGGCGGGCGGAAGGCGGAGGCAGGCAGGGAGGGATAGCAAGGCGCGGCGGATTTGATGACTGATTAAAGAAAGGAACGGGAACGGGGAGGGTCAAAAGAGCAAGTGGAGGTGGAGGGGAGGGGAGGTGAGGAGAGGAGAGGAGACGACGAGGCGGGCGCAGGACAGGGAGTCAGTCGTCCAGCCAAGGAAGTGTCCCGTCGTGTGGACGCATGAAAAGGCTGGGGGGAAGGGAAGGGATGGATGGGGTGGAGAGTGGAGACGGCGCTGACGCTCCCTGTCCTCCCTGAGTCGCTGCCTGCTGATGCGCGCAGAGAGAGAGAGAGAGAGAGAGAGAGAGAGAGGGCCGGGGTCGGGCAGGCAGAGGCAGCGCAGTCAAAGGGGGTGGGCCGCTTATTTTGTTGCCTTGTTTGCCGATGGGGTCGGGGGTGGGGGCCGTGTGATCTGGATCCGACGGGGGTTTGGTGCGGCGATTCAATGCCGAGGCAGCCAGCCAGCCATCCGGGCGGGGGAGACGACGGACGGGGAAGGGAACGGAACACCGGGCCGAGGCCGTTGGGGCCGCTGACCCAGAGAGTGAATGCTGCGCTGCCGAGGTGGACCGAGCGAGCTGCGCAGGTGGGGGCCCAGGCGCCTGGCAGAGGCGTTATCACACGAATATTGAGGCGGCGCTGCTCCCGTCGTTCGTTCGTTCCTTGTGGCTGTTCGTTTCGTCGTAAACGATCGTGGATTATAAGCTGAAATGGAACGTTGTTTGGTGAGAGGTACACCGTTGGCGTCTTGGCTCCGCTGGATGGACCGGGGGCCGCTGTATGGGGGCGGCGCCCGCTGCTCAGCAGGTCCGCCTCACGATCACGGCCTCCTCTTCCTGTGCTGTGCATCTACCATGCCTGTTTTTGGAGAACTCTTAATGCCATCGGGCTGGCTGGCCAGGCCTTCTGTTATCATCAACACACAGGGGCCAGGGGGCTCAGCTCGATCAAGAAAGAGGTGACGGAGATGTGGAGGTGCACTCATCGCTAACCACGGTCGTTCTACTAGCTAATATGCAATTCTCGTTATCATTTTCCGCGTGGTTGGATCGTTGGAAATGGGCGCCACATGCGCATTTCACATAAATGTCCCATCGTCCAACCATCGAGGACATGGGATTTTCAGTATGGCAGCGTGTGTCCGTAACCCCAATTGGCTATATATGTTCCATATACACGATGCATGCACGTTCGAGAGTATCTAACAAAGTATCGGTGTTTTTTTTAGCAATTTATTATTTTATGTGATAGGCATACCGAGACTCTTGTGGTGTGCATGACTTCACAATCTTATAATGTACTGATTTAATGTCGCTCCTGCAAATATTTTTGTGGTGACTCCCTCGTATGTATACATATACATATATGCGAGTAGATTGTCCTGACCCAGTGTCGCTCCTAGAAATGTTTCATGTACGTGGTGAGTCTACGTATGTACATTCATGCGAGTATATGTGTGTTGTGTACTGTGTTTTGCAAAATAAAACTAAACATACCTTTTTTTTTCCAAAAAATTGACTTGTTGAAAGTGAAGTAATGCCATTATAAGTAAGTGCTCTGTCATGAAAAAGATGAAAAAAAAACACACGTACGGAGTACTAACGTGGAATTGGGTTGGTTTTCTTCCTTAATAAATCAAAAGCCTATATTACCTACTCCACCGATTAAAATAATTTTGTTTTGGACAATGGTAGGTCTCAGGATACAACTTTGACTAATACATTTAATTCGAACATAAAATTAAAAAAATCATAGAGTTGCAAATTACAAAGACTTTCCAAACAAAAATACAATGATATTATTGTGTAGATGTTACCAATTCAAATATATTTTTTTCTTAAATCATCGACGGATAAACTTAAGAGCTTTGTTCACTACATGCTTTCTAAAACTTTGTACATTTATGAATGATTTACTTACTCAGAACAATGATATGATGATAAACACTAAATCATGAAGTTCAACACGCTTTGCCAAGGACTAGGTACCATGCACACAATATACATACCCTGATTAGTTTGTTTCCAACGTAATTGTGCCACAAGATCTATTTTCACCATGGTATAAGAAATCAGAAAACTAAGGGCATGTTTGGTTCGCCTAGTAGCTACTAAATTGAGTAGCTTTTAGTCACTTTAGTAACTTTTTATCCTAACGAGCGAGAAAAAAGCTACTAAAAGGCTTTAAAAGCTCGAGAAGGTGGTGTTTGGATGAGCTAGGTGATAAAAGTTACAAAATATAATATTTGCATTTATCTAAAGTTTGATGAATAATAATAATATAAAAAAACAAATTATATAATCCGTCGATACTATCAATCAATTTTTAGGCCTAATTAATCCGCCATTAGCATCAATTGTAAAGTGTAGCACCACATTGTCAAATCATGGACTAATTAGGTTTAAAAGATTTGTCTCGCAAATTAGTCGTAAACTATGCAATTAGTTTCGTAATTAGTCTATATTTAATACTACATGCATGTGTCCAAACATTCGATAGGACAACGACTAAAATTTAGGAGGGGCAACCAAACACCCCTTAACTCTGGAGTTACTAAAAATGACTAAACCATTTAGTAGCTACTAAACTTTAGTAGCTCTAACCAAACACCCCCTAAGAAATGCTCCTAAAAGCTAGCAACTACTATCGCCTAATTTTTGTTATGCCTCAGCAGAGTTTCTATGTTGGGAATTCTACTTGGTAGAAAAAAACAAGGAAAGTAGTAGTAGTAGCTTAAACTAATTTACATTGACTAATAACTCAAACCCAACGGTATATCCACTCAACATCCATGCATTTTATTCCAAAAGATTTCTCGAGAAATTTCAGAGCGTACATATACATAGAGAATTTTTGTTGTTTTCCTATACAACTGCTACATTAAAAGATATACTACTCATAAATTCCAATCGAATAGGTTTGAGATGATGGGACTACCGATATGTCTGTATCATCACACCACCACGGACAACAACAATGGTATCCACAGTGCGCTTTCAAAATGAATGTCATGATGACAATTGTACTGTGGACGCTCAACGAGCTGACGATTTATTTGTGTCTCGCGGTATGAGAGAATATAATAGATATTATGTGATCCATGGTCATATGTACTGAGGTGTGATTGCGAAGGTCGAAGGACATAAGATATGAAGCCCCTAACATGTCAAGTCAAATACTTTTAATGACCAGTCTGATTTTGTATAATTTAATTATCTTTTCACTGTACATGCATGGCAACCATAACCTGGATATTTTTATGTGTCCTCAACAAGTATGTCTTTTTTAGGAATGGTATGTTTAAGAGGACAATATTTACTTTGGCAGAGTAAATGACGGTGGAATGTAATCAGCTGGAACCAATAAAAATTAATTTCTACCCAAAAAAGGATAATGGCTAGATGGCTCTGGCGGCCTCATGCCAACTTTGGTGTTTTGACAGTTTTGACGTCAATTATATCAATCCTTATTAGGCTATGCCTTCCTATATCTATTTCATTTTAAGAAGCACTCTCATGGACAGCTAGTCTCAAGTTTGCAACTTTCAAAACATGCCGAATGATGGTGATTGCATATATATGTCCTGCAGTCCTGGCACCAAAATATAATCAAGGTGCAGTTGTAAAATACGCTTCCTTAGCTCATCGATCTGTACTTCTTGCCATGTTTTCAAGGAAAAGGGCGAAGGCATCCCCTTTTTAAAATATAAATCCAGAAAATGGCGCATTTCCCCTTTTTCTCTTTTCTTTTTTTTAAAAGAACTGTTACAATAACTTTCTAACTCACTGGCCTGTCATCCAATTAATCTTTTGCTTTTAGCATGAAAATACAAGGTCTATGGTAATTAAGATTGTTTTTCATTATGGGATAAATAGTAGTTGCGTGTAGGGAAAGATCGCCTACATTACGCTCATTAGTGAACTTAGTTCACCTATGTTTAAATTATATAAACTTGTTATAAGCGTTCGTATTTTATTATAGATTCTTTTTTAAGAAACAATGCTACTAGCCATTATATGTGATCTACAACTTTATATAGTTGATTTTTTTTTTATTTGAAACTGTTTAGAGTTCTAAAATATTGTTTGAAGTTCATATATTTAAACTGTTTAGAGTCCTACAACTTTATACAGTCTTTGACGCACATCTTTCAAATTTATGAGATTTTGCAACTATTTTAATACAATTCTAAAGTACAAACTTACATGTTTTCAAACTAATCATTTAAAAGTTGTTGATCCTTGTAGTTTTTAAGGTTTGGCTACATCTCATCCTAAAACCCCATGTCCTTTATAAAGGGGTATTTTATCTCCGCCGCACTAAAGTTAATTGACTTCAAACCTTTGTCATTGTTCATTAAACCTAAGTAACAAATCAACTTGCTATCAAGTTGTACATTTAATGGAATTAATAACATTATGTCGAGGTTATAACCCCGGGGTATCTCAAGGCATTGACTAGATGGCGGGCCGTGTAGCTCACAACGCAACAACAGACAAGGGCCCAAACGACCGAGGCCCAGCAAAAGCCGAACAGGCCAGGCCAGGCACCGAGGTCGAGGTTATCCACGACCCCTTCCACCTGCCTTGGTCTCACCACGCTAGCAAGGCATACGATCTCTCTCCGTCGCGACCTCCGGTAGAGAAAGAAAAAGGCCGCGCCTTGCCAAGCAAGCCTACCCTGACAGGGGCAAGCACGCCACACTGACCCTGTAAGGACCAAGGTGGCAATAATCACCTCAGCCCGGTCAAACGCC